TCACACCTAAGTCCGGGATAATCCCAGAAGCGCCTTATTCGACTGTGCCACGACATGGTCAAAAGAATTGGCACCGGGAGTGTACTGCCCTCACACTGATCCTGCAGCCTCTCCAAGACACAAACCAGGGTTTTACACAATTTCCCCATGCACCCGGGTTGTCAACAAGTACTAACATGTAAGGTCTCTGTAAATCCCTGGTGTGTGTCTTGGAGAGGCTGCAGGATCCGTGTGAGGGCAGTAGCACCCCCGGTTCCAATTTTTTTGATCATGTCGTGGAGCAGTTGTCTAAGGCGCGTCTGAGATTATTCCCGACGTAGGTTCGAACCCTCATCACGGCCCTTGTGGATTTGTTCATTTAACCTAGTTGTTGATTTGTGGAAGCAATTACCACACAATGTGGCGGAGGTAGGGCTCCCTTGATTGTTTCAAGCATGGGTTGGATATGTATATGAGTGGATTGATGGTTATAAATAGGATCTGCCTCATATGGGCCAATAGGCTTCTGCAGTTACCTTCATTCTTGTGTTCCTATGTTCTTAAGCCCTATGGGACCCTGCATTATATTCAGAGCTAAAATGAAAGCGACAGCCGTTGATGAAGAAAAGGTCTTGAAACCAATAGAACTGAGTCAACAAAAGCACCACCTCAAAGAGAAGAACCAAGAACAAAGGCAACATAAAGAAACAAGTTGATGAGAAAACACAAAGACATGCCAGAGACTAGGGAAGATCCAGAAAAGAAGCAGAAGGCAAGAGATGAAAAAGACAAGATACAACTCCTAAAACTGCAAAAGAAGAAATGGCAATGTCAAAGGCCAAAGAAAACATCTCCAAAACATTTAATTAAGATAGGCTGCAAAGAAATAGAAAAGACAAAAATGACCATCAAACAACACATACTGGTACTGGAAAGAAAGTCGCTGAAGTAACACCAGAATATTCACTACCCACAAGGAACAAGAACACTCCACAACACTCCACAACTCAATTGTGTGTCCAGCTTCCACTGATGGTTACTGTAGAAAACTGCAGAGATTTTGTGTTATCCATTAACTGGTGTGTTCAACATTACACTAGAGACTGAAAATCTGGAAAAAGACAAATATAATTCCAATATTCAAGAAAAGGAACAGACATGAAATAATAAACAACAGACCAGTGCCATTAACACGTATTCCATGCAAGATTCTGGGAAAAGTCCCCACAAAAACAATTATAGATCATTTGAGGAAAGTAAATTTTGTAACAAAGATGCAACACTGCTTCAGAGAGGAAAACTCTTAACAAACTTGATTGAATTTTATGACAGGGTCACCAAAATAAGACAAGAGAAAGAAGGATGGGGTAGACAGCATTTTCCTAGACTTCCAGAAAGCTTTTGATACAGTCCCCTACAAAAGAAAAATACAAAACTGGATAGACATGCGATAATAACATGAATGGCATTGGACTGAGTATGGGAGTACCTGACACACAGAAAACAGAGGGTCATAGTCAGAGGAGATATGTCAGGCAGAAGTGGAACGTGCTGTTTTACAGGACTGTCCTAGGACCATTACCTTTTTTCTAATTTATGTAAATGATCTGCCAGAGAGATTGAGCAACCCCATGAGCCACCCAAGCTACATCTCAAGCTAAGCCCTGCCCCGACCCTGAAACTCTCAGATGCTTTGGGACCAGAATCAGGGAAAGGGCAAATGAAGCCAGACAGGAAAGGAAGAGGAGGTGTAGATAGAACCACAGGTAAATTAACCAGCATCTCCAAATTCGGTTTCCTAAAAACCAAACGAGGCAAGTCCAGGACCTCCAACTAGGCACATAACCTAGACCTTTGCAACACAGAAAACCTTAAATGTAAAGTGGTTGCTACCTGAAAACGTTACATCTCATTGGGAGGGTTTGTAAAGAGGTTTACATAAAGAGAACAAGTCCCACAAGACTCAGGGTCGAAGGCATCAGTAACCCAGCATGCAACATGGTGGAGGCAGAAGGAAGGACTATTGCCAAGTGACACAGACGACGAGCAACCCTCAAATTCTCACAATGCAAGACCCGGTTTGGATTCAAAATCCATGGTACCACCGAACCCGTAATGGTTTTCCAGGGCTTACATGGTTAGTGTTCCCTGCAAGTATGCCCAGACACTAGGAGCACTACCTCAGTAATACCTACAGGCATGGACAAATCCTTTCAGTGAAAAATAGGTATAAATGAAACAAAAGCCAGTGAAAAGGCTGAAAAATTAAGACAAGTACCACAATCTCTCAGGACACCAGACCATGGAAGATAAGCAAGCAATTGAGAATAATAGATCAAACCAGCTATGCAACAAACTGGAAGGTCTACCTCTATGTGCCGGTAAGGTCACCTCACTGACCATCCACTCCATGGCGAAGGGACAGAAATGAGACACACATCCGAGAGTACATTAGACACACCGCAAACATGAATTGCGCATATAGCCAAACCCCGAGAAACCAGAAGACAAGCTACACCCAGAGTACAGTCCCACAACAGAAAAGACCAAAATGACCCCCTGTAATTCAGACAACGAACTACCATAAAGCAATCAGGGTAGAGTTGGATCATGGAACAGGGAATGAGATGAAAGAGCCAAACAGCATACCAAAACACAGCCAAGTACAAACTGCACTGTGTGCCTGACAAAGGGGACCAGCCATCAGCACCTAGCCACCAGGTGAGCGTTGGTTGCAAAACCCCCAGCTAGATCTGAAGAGGCCAGAAACAGGTTGAACACAGGAGGAAGGTGCCACGTGCAGGGACCCCAAAAAGCCTGAAGAGAAAAAAAGGCAAGTATGATGCTGTTGAAGGGAAAATGGAGGCAAAATCAGATGTCCTGAGATAGCAAAAAGGTTGCACTGGAAAAACTTGGGACAGCACCAGAAGCCAGACCCTGCACAGCAGATTTACCACACAGGCAAAATCCCAGTCTCCTCCCTACTGCTAGAGCAGTCAAAGGAAAACCCTGGCCACCCTCCATCATCAAACTGATGAAAGAGGCTCAGTGGATGAGACTCACTGGAGGCAGAGACAAGAATGCTGGCTGAAAATCTCAAATAAGGCCCAGTCAGGTTTGAGCCCCACGATGGAACCAACCAGGACTTCCACCAGTTCACTATGAACCTGAATCTCACCAATTGGGAAAGAAACAGATCCCTGGCTTGCAGATAGGCAGACTAGCCAGGAGCCCAAATCAGTCAGTCATTAAGGTACGCTAAGACACAAACTTCCAACAAAGAACACACACCACAATCTGCATCAGTCTGATTAAAGTCTGGAGAGACAGGTGTAAACAAAATGAAAGAACCCAAAAGTACTAGTGGAGATACCATATATGATAAGTGAACCAGTCCCTCAATCGTGGATGAAAGGGGATGTGTCAATACGTATCCTGAAGGTCCAGGGGCACCAACCAAGTGCCTGCCTGCAAAACCATGGGAACTTGACTAAAAGCGGTCATGCAGAAAGTTGGAGAGGAAATGAACCAGGTCAGACTCAAGAATATGAGGACTGAGAATCTGGCAAGGTCCTCTTGGGGACTGTCAGACAGTACTCCCACCATAGAGAAAGAGTTCATTTCATCACCCCAGTATCCAATCACCCCAGCATCCAACCACCCTATCAGCCAGCCACCCCACAACCATGCAGAGCAGTGGAGATGGCTGGGCCAGGGCACCTGAAACCAAAGGAAGGGTTCAAGACCACTCCCCACTGAAAGCTTGGAGAAACCACTGACAAATTCCAGCATCATGAAGCTTGGCTCAAGAGAAAATGTCCACTTGCCCCTCACTGCATTGACAAATGGGCAAACCATGGAAAAACTGGTATGAAGTACTCTGATGAGCAGACTTCCTCTGAGATGCATGAAAATGCCACCGAGAGGTGGAAGCCGATGTTAAAAGCAGTGCTACTGCCCTAGCCTCCAGACACCTACCCTGATCAGGATGCAGCAAAACCTGAACCCTGTTACACTGCCCGCCAGCAGAGACAGAACCCAGTCGCAATAGGGGATTACTAGCATTGATTGAGGAGTGACCAGGCAAGAGGCCAAATGCAGGGAAATGTGCAAATTTACCCCCCCTCCCCAACCTACGAAAATGTGGAAAACGAAAGCGCAATGTGCAACCAAATACAGACCCAGGGCGAACACAAAACAAATCTACAAAACCAACAGCCTTACCCCCAAATCCATCCCAACCACCAGGCCCTACAGAGGAGCCAAAGCCCACACACTACCTGCAGCCAGTATCAGAATGTGATCCTGCCTAACTATCCATGATACTGTTATGACACAACAGATCTTTACCTTTGAGAGAAACTGAATGCTTCTGCTCAGAAAGGAACTCTCATTATTACTCAAAATCTGATTAATTCAATAGCATGACATGGTTGATACATGAATAATAATATTTTGGGCACAGTATGAACTGAATCAGATTTAAATTGATGCATGAGGAGCTGCATGATATGACAAAAATTAACCACTTAACTTGTTAAATTGTTAACAATTTAACAACAGTTGATGTGAAATGGTCACAAAGGGTTAATTACAATCACATTTTACTTTAGTTTGACTAATCTTTATAAAAATGTGACTTAATAGTTTGTATAAATTTTGTATTATTAATATACGCAATTGTTTTTATGTTGTGGCAGGTAAATTTGGACTTGATTTGATTGGCTGAAGTAAATAATGTAGCTTAATTTAGCAATCTCAATGAGACATTAATATTTTGAAAGTGAAGATTTTTAGGTCTCGTGCAAAGTGCTGAAACCCTGTAATTTATAACACGAACCTGAAAATAAGTGATTTTGTAACAAAAATTTGTTTAGTAAACTTTTGATTTCTCTTAACAAGGTTTATAATATTTCTTGAATACCATAATTTTAAACATTACACTGCTAAAAAGGTTAAGAAGAATACTGTATACAGAACTAAATACAAATTGCAACACTGTACTCTTGTCCCATACTCACATCTTTTTTAATGTCTTTTGTTCATTATTTCCAAGGCATTCTTGATTTGCAGAAGATTCCCCAGACAATTTTTGACTAGGCTCAAAATAATCTGATATTGTACTAGCAAATGTCAGAGTACTATCAAGTGCCTTCAACAACTGTCGGTCATGCCGTAATGAGGTCATTGATGATCTTGCCTGCCTTGATCCTTCTCCATTAGTCTGCTTTTGCGTCACATTTTCAATGGGGTCCTCTTGTGACACCAGTTCATTTAGAACTAGTGGTTTCAGTAATGTGACACTCACTACTAGCATCTCACCACACGGCATAAAACTGTCATATCTTCCCCCTGAAAGCAAATTAATGAAATTAGCCTTACACTAATTATACAAGGTACAGTGTGAACTTACTTGAATGAACTCAATGGGCCAAAGCCAATTTGTTGCACGAGGATTTTGTTCAAATCCTAGCAATCTCCCTTCCTATGTAAAAAACCAGCGTCAAATGTAATGGAACGCCATTTTCTGAGTGAGCCCCGGAGGATCCCTGAAGCTATCAAACTGACATGTGCCATATTAGTTTGGTGCCATCAGTCCTTGGAGTTTGAGTACCTACCAGGGGGCCCACGAGCCAGAACCTGGCCTCCTCAGAGAGGCGCAAGTATGTGAACGAAAGTCGATACAAAACCCAGTACGCGTCCTGGAGGTTCAGGGGTATCATCCAAGTGCCCAGCTCAAGAAGAAGCCAGACCTGGGACAAAGTAGTCATCTGAAAGAAGGGGCAAAGAATCCAACGGTTCGGACGGGACAAGTCCAGAAAGATCCGGAGATCCGCACAGTCCCGTTTTGGAACCAGAAACATGCGGGAAACCCACTTTAGGGATGAAGTCATTTTGACCATGCCCAAGTGAATCCACTCCAAGATGATACGACAGAGAGACAGGAAAGAAGCCTGCCCCGACAGCCCCGAACCCCCAACTGGAGGAGCCGCCGCCCAACGCCACTAAAGGCTGGAAGAGACGACACGGAAAGCCCACTAATCGAGTGACCAAGCGTAGGCAAACAGCCAGCCTCCCTCCTGTCACCCCATCAACAGGAGCCCCACGAAAGAGCCAATGCGACCTCCGAGAAGCAAACTTCTGAGTAGGGCAATCACCGTGCCGACCAGATAAAAAAGGCTCCGGAGGACGCACTGTCTTCGAACCTGGCACCAAAGGCCCACCTCGACTTACCGAAACCCGAGCTCTGGCACGACCATCCAGGGAAGAGCGAGCCCGCCCGTCAACTGGTAGAAGCCGCCGACAAAATCTGAGTAACAACATCCTCCGGAAATAACAGGTATGGGAATTTTTTATGAATATTGAATTCCACGAGTCAGGCCCTAGGAGCTGAGTGCATGGGCATATTGTCACTTTCTCTTTCAAAGTCTTCCGAGTTCGTGTTAATATCCGTTATATTATCTGCAGCTTGAATGTCATTCATAAAGAAGCTGTCTGGATCATCAACTTTCATGTTGTTTATTGGTGTGCTAAACATAGCCTCATACTGGCTTCTTAGAATTTCACTAATTTCTTTGTTGTCCTCTATGTATGTACCTTCGGTTGTAATTAAAGGTCCAATACTGGTGGTGGTTTTTGATTTTGCGTCTGTGAAAAAAATTCTCCAGACACACAGCACAGAAAAGCACAGGGATTAAGAGGCACACATTGAAGGGGGGGAGGGAGGTCAACATGAGAGAGAGAGAGTGGGCCAAAATGAGAGAAAGGGGAAGGGGGGGGGGGGTCAGACATTTAGGAGCCAGAAGCAGGGGGGAGGAGCAGGGCGAACCATACCCCTCTGGGAAGGAAGCATGGGTGCGGACGGAACCAAGGTTGAGATAACCAACACCCCCTAAATCCTGGTCTCTAAAATCCAAATGGGGCAACCAACCTGGTTGCAACACAGAATACCTGTGTTACAACACACACACAGATTAACCGGTCCCCAGAGAGAAACCTCGGTCAACGCTGAATGCAAGCTGTGCCGGCCGCAGTGCGCCCCACCCAGCACAAATCCACTCCCCACCTGGGACAAGACGGGAACCCTAAGACCCTCAGTAAACCCCAAGGGCAAGAACACCACCAAGCGATAAAGACCTCAAACAGGAGCGAGACCCGAACGACCCAAGGAAGGTAACCCTGAATCGGAAGGGAAGTACTTACTTGGCACCTAGGGAAGGGAACCCTAGGCACATGCAGCCGAGAAGACTTATACTAACGCCTGGTTACCACACACAGAGCCGGTAAAGCCACAAACACAAAGCCATGACAAACACAAAGAGGACTTCCGACACCTGGCACATTAGTCGATGAACTGAGGGTGGTGCAGCTTACTCGCCTGTGCTGGGTCTCCCCCTCCCCTCTGTCGGGAAGAGTAAGGCACTAATGAGTGGGTGCACTAGATGGATGACATGTTGCTTGTTTCATTGTTTTTGATTGGGGGAGTTCTTTGGCTCTGTTCGGATGTAGGATGCAATTTTAACTAGTTAGAGGTTTGTAATGATTTGCCAATCTTACTTTCTGGAGGTAGGCGCCTCTCTGAGGGGGGCCAGGTTCTGGCTCATGGTCAATAGTAGGCACTCAAGCTCCATGGACTGATGGCACCAAACTAATATGGCCCATGTCAGTTTGATAGCTTCAGGAAGCAGACAGGCCTTCCCTCAGAAAATCAGCGTTGAATGCAATGAAATGCCATTTTCTGGGCGAGCCCCAGAAGCTCCCTGAAGCTATGTGCCATATTAGGTGTCATCAGTCACTGGAGTTCTAGTGCCTACCAGAGACCAGCATCAGAACCTGGTCCCCTCAGAGAGGTGCAAAGAGCAATGGCCATATAAGCACTCTATATTTAGAGTTTGTCATGTCTGCCATTGACTGGGGATACCCCCAGAAAATCAGGCCAAACAATACAAACCTCTAACTGGTTCAAATTGCAACCTACATCCGAACAGAACCAAAGAATTTCCCCCACCCCCCCAAAAAAAAGAAAACAATGAAACAAGCAAATCTTCATTCAACTAGCACATCCACTTATTAGTGGCCCCCCCTCCCCTGACAGGATAGAGGGAAAGTCCGCTCAGGCGAGCCAGCCACTCCACCCTCAGTACGTTGACTGATGTGCTGGTGTTCATATGTCTCCTCTGGCCTCGATTTTTTGCTGGCTTTACCGTTTGTGGCTTTGCCGGCTTTGTGTGGTGGTGTTGGCCAGGTGTTCTTTGTTACGCTAGGCTGCATGCAACTAGGGCTATCTTCCCTAGGTGTCCAGACATGTACTTCCCTTGAATGTCAGGGTTCTCTTCCCTGGGACGTTCGGGTCTCACTCCTGTTTGAAGGCTTTGTCGCTTGGGTTTATCCCCCACAACCTCCCCAGGGAAAATCCGAGAGAAAGGAAATCACTGGAAGGACGAATCCAAGGAACCCAAGGGCACCCAGAAACGAACCTGGGGAGCGCTGCAACTAACTCAAATTCATACAGGGAAGGTGGGTACAAAAATCCCCTCCCATGCAGCAACAATCCCTGCCCAGAAGGCACAAGGACCCAAGCAGAGTCAAAAGGAGCCCAAGCACTACAAGCAGACTTTCCTGAGCCCCGGGAACCCCTGACACAAGTCTCGGGCAGAGCCCTCTTCCACACCCACCACCCCTGAAGAAAAGGCAGAGTCCAGGGAAAAAGCTTCCGAGAAGGGAGTCGGCTGGGTTAACCCAGAAGCCTCAGCAGGAAAATTGGGCTCAACCACCTCCGTGCCTGAATTGGAAGGAGCAGCCCCTGAATCCACCCGAGCCTCATCCCAAGCAAACCCCCTCCCCGACTCTGAAACCCTCAAATGTTTGGGAGCTGGAAGCAGGGTGAACCACGCCCACCTGGGAAGGAAGAGGGAGGCATGGACGAAACCAAGGTCGAAGTGACTAACGCCCCCAAATCCTGATTCCTAAGATGCATGTGGGGCAGCTTCAGGGCCTCCAACTGGGTAACCAACCTGGGGCATTGCAAGAATGAGAATCGAGCATGCAACACAGCCACCACCTGATTATTCCTGAAATCAACAGACACGGAATGAGTAAATTGAAGTTCAAGTGAAGAACAAGTCCAGCAAGTCTCCGGGTCTTCCTTTACAGAGTTGTTTGGCGGCTTCATGGCATTATTGTCTGAACATTCCAGTTGTCTGTACAGCTGTACTGACTTTCTGGGGGCTTCAATGCATTCCACTTGCCGACCATGTGTACAGGGAAAGGCAATTTACTGTCATTTCTTTGACTCAAATGTCAAACTTTCACTTATGTCCCCTTATCCTATGTCCTACCTCTCTTTAATTTAAACAGGCCTCCTTTGTCCACTTTGTCCATCTCCCTCAAAATCTAGCATGTAGTTATATAAGGATTTGAGGTTTGGTGCAATTGGCTTGTTAGTACCAGTGGTTCAGCTCAGTAAGTATGTAACGGGAACAGGGTAACGGCTCTACTTTGTCCACTACTCTGCCCTTAACGAAAACTTAGAGAGACCCCAGAGCTCTACTGTCAGCCTTCAGTCCACTTCTTGTGATCTTGGACGATTGATCGCCTTAGATAATACAAACACGAGGCGCTGTACTGTCTCCTAGTAAAACTCAAAGAATCCTCTCTGCTGCCACCACCTGAATCCGCTTACTTGATTAGCCCCTAATTGACAGTGAAACGTCAATTATATATAATCCTCCAAATGTGGATCCCCAGTTTAATCGAAAGGAAGGTATGAATTTACGTTAAGTGTGGGAATTAATCGAAAATCAAGGGAATATATCCGATTAGTAATATACTAGGCTTGCTTGGAATATATATACCAACTTAGTCCCATAAAGCAGACTCGTGGAGACCGCAGCAAAGACATTCATATATATTATTATGGGAAAACTCAAAAACACCATATCTACTAAAACAAGATTTATTAATCGAGAATATCAAAATGGAACTAGAAAGAAACACTTCCTAACTGAAATATATTCCTACTGAGGCAAATGGAGTATCAACTGTATCAAACTCTGCAGCATATTACCGTAATATTCGAAGTCCAGCCTGGTGTTGTTCTGGTTTTCGGGAAGTGTTGTTGTTCTCCCAGTTGCTGCTTAAACCACACTGAACTAGCCTGCCTGTCCTCCAGACTGAGGCTAGCTAATATTACTCTGCCAGCTTCCCTGACTATTAGTTACCAAGCAGGGTTAATTGTAACAAACTAATCTTATTTACTGGTCACCCAGATGGTTAAATACCTAATTGAAACTGATGGAAATTAAATATGGAGATGGAGATGGAAATTAAATATGGAGATGGAGATGGAAATTAAATATGGAGATGGAGATGGAAATTAAAGATGGAACTGATGGATGATAGGCATCTTGGAAAAGGCTATTTCCAATTACAATATTGACTAGTGACCTGAATTTATGCTTTATGAATTAATAATACGGTAGGCTGTGGTCACCCTCTAGGCCGCAAGATCCTTGACCCAGGCCGAGTCAACCGGCCTAAGGAACTAGGTTCTCTACTCTTACATGATATCACTTTCTCTGTAACAGCATATGAACCCTGATCTTTACTCTACATTCATGTTAACCTCACCTAAGACCTTAAACCAGATTGATTATTACTGCAATTACTGTATTTGTTGAATAATTCATTGCTTGTTGAATTAATGCAAGGGAGACAGCCATCTTGTTTTTCTAAACTTGCTAATCCCTTAATCTCTGGAGAGGTGATCCTTCCTAGCCTACCAGGTAAGGAATACCTTTAGACTCCAAGTTCGTAAAACCACGTGGTACAATTTAACCTCTGTGATCTGCGATCTATGATTTCTACTCCAAGCTTAGCTCGTTACAAGCAGCTGAGGGGTGCCCTCCCAGAAAATACAGTTGGCAGGTAGTAATGATGCAGAGTCAATATGAGTTTTCTACACACAAAATCTAGAAATATCATTCCAGAGTTAACATAAATTTTTCCAGATTTCTGAGGCTACTATTATATTGAGTTCTGGAGCTTGAGGTTACACTGTACAGTATTACAGTACAGTACTGTATTAATAAAAAAAAAATTAAAAAATTTAAATTAAAAGCAAACCTTTGTCTATTAGTTCCATGCTGTCATCATCATCCTCATCATCTGTCCAAGTGCCATTTTCTCTTGGGGTAAGGTAGTGGCAGGAACACTTACGAAATGTTGTAAACATATACCTGATGAAAGACTCATTATGTTTCAAAGGAACTCAAAGTAACTTAAGCAAACATTGTATACAAACAAATAAATGTAGTGGTAAGAATATTTGTATAACTAGAGAAAATGTGTAGGCGAGTAAATGAGTGTAAATGCCTAATTGTAGTTAAAGGAATAAAGTTATGCATGTCATCCTCTTTGTACAGTACAGTGGCACCTCGACTTACGATTGCCCCGACTTACGATAATTTTGAGTTACGATGTAAATTTGATCGAAAAATGCCACTTGACTTACGATAGTGTCGTTGACTAACGATATTTGTTGGTACACGTTTGGGTCGACCGAGCGTGTGGTTCCCGGTCACGCGGGCCGACCTGCCTCAGTTTACTAGAGTTGCCTGCTTAATGACGATCGCGCCTATAAGAAACTCCGTTTTTGTGGCGATTTTTTGCTTTTTGAACATAAAACTGATTATTATATATCATGCCATGGGTCCCAAGAAAGTCAGTGGTAAGGTTCAACATATGAAGAGACATGTAAGAATGACCATAGAGGAAAAACAAGAGGTCATATGTAAACATGAAAATGGTACTAGTGTTGTTGAACTAGCTGGGCAGTACAATAAATCTTCAGAGGAGGCGGCGGCGGCATTAGAGGATGTCCCTTACTCATTAATTAAGAAAATGTGTGCAGTATGGGAAGGACTGCAAAGTTTTGCTGAAAAGAATCATCCAGATAAAGTTGTAACAGCCCATTGCATTGATCTTTTCAATGACAATGTGATGCCTCACTACAGACAAGTGTTGGAAAGAAGGGAAAAACAATCTTCAGTGGAACAATTTCTAGTGAGAAAATCAAGCAGTGAGCCAGAAGCAGGTCCTAGTGGTATGCAGGCAAAACGTGCCAGTGTGTGTACCCCAAAGAAGTCCACACTGCCTGATGTTATAATGGAAGGGGATTCCCCTTCCAAACAGTAATACCTGTCTTCCCCCTCCTCACCATCTTCCATACGCCATCAAGCGTCCTCCATAAAGGTAAGATAAACATATGTACTGTATTGTAGTTAGAGAAAAAAATTGTATTTAGTAAAAAATGTATTTGTAAGTTAATATTTTGGAGGGTGGGGAACGGATTAATTCAATTCCCTTTATTTCTTATGGGAAAAATCACTTCGACTTACGATCCGTCTCTGGGAACGGATTACCATCGTAAATCGAGGCCCCACTGTATATGCAATCATATCTAATTTGAACATTTCTCTTGTTTGTGTACACATTACTGATTATTGAACCTTGTTCTTACCTGGAGAGGAGTCTCAAGAGTTTTTCTCCTCCCCGAGCCCAGCCTGGGGCCAGGATCAACTTTTAATAACTTGGTCCAACAGGCTGATGATTGCAACTGCCCATAGGCCCACATATCCACTACAGCCCAATTGGTCTAGTACTTCTTGCAAGAACTCATCTAATTGGTTCTTGATGAATTCACATATGTTCTGGAAATATTTGTAATGCTTGCTGGGAGAGTATTGAACAGCTGTGGACCACTTATTTTCTGGAAATATTTGTAATGCTTGCTGGGAGAGTATTGAACAGCTGTGGACCTCTGATGTTCAGTGCTCTCTGATTGTGCCTATGGCACCTCTACTCATCATTGGTTCTATTCTACATTTCCTTCCATATCTCTCGCTCCAGCATGTTGTTATTCTACTGTGCAAATTCGGGACCTGGCCTTCCAGTATCTTCTATGTATATATTATTTGATATCTTTCTCGTCACTTTGTTCTTACTTAGCTCCAAGAGCATTTGTTTCACTTTGTCTCTAGACACCTCTATGAGCTCTATGTTGTTCTCTGGAATTCTTATTGTGTCTGGTTCCCTGAAGATCTCATTTTGTACACACACACTTTGGAACGTTTTGTTTAATGTTTCACATATTTCCTTTTAATTTTCTGTGTATCTGTCCCCCATTTTCAACCTCTGAATATTATCCTTTACCTGCAGCTTGCTTTTAATGAATTTATAGAAAAGGCCTGGATCTGATTTACATTTGTCTGCTATACTGTTCTCAAAGTTCCTCTCTGCCTCTCTCCTTATTGACGTGTAGTTGTTTCTCGCATCTTTGTATCGCTGGTATGTTTGGGGGTTTGGCCTCTTCCTATAATGATTCCATTTCTGTGTCTTTTGATCTCTGGCCCTCTCGCAATTTCTGTTGAACCAATCCTGTTTCCTAGGTCTGCATCTCTGTTTTGGTATGAATGTTTGTGTGCCTTCATCGTATATTTTGCAAAATATGGCATACATCTCATTTACTTCCTTACCTAGCAACAAGTCTGTCCAATTATACCCATGAAATTTTTTTTTAAGTTCCCCATATCGTCCTCTCTTGAAATCGAGTTTAACAACTGTTTCAATGTCCCCATTCTCTACTAGATTATATCGCAAAGCGTATTTAATGTCCAAGAGGACGTGATCACTCTTTCCCAAGGGAGGAAGGTACTGGATGTAAAATACCTCTTCTTCTTTCCTGGTGAATCTTAGATCCAGTATTGACGGGACATCCACTTCCCTCATTCTTGTGTCCTGCTTGATGTGTTGATACAGGAATGTCTCCAAGATGAGGTTTACAAATCTGCCTATCCAAATATCCTCTGTTCTTGCCTTATAGGCCTCCCAGTCTATTGCTTTAAAGTTGAAGTCCCCCAGTACCAACAATCGGAATTTATCTTTGTCAGCTTTTACCATAATCTCTCTCATGACCATTATGAGGCCCTCTCGTTTGTCATCCAGTTCTTCCTTTGTCCATGTGTTGCTTGCTGGTGGGCTGTAGGCATTTAAAATTATCAGCTTATCATCTCGATTCAAGATCTGCAATGTCATTATGTCAATATCTCGAGGGTTTTCAATTATTAAGTGTGTGTGTACTCACCTAATTGTGCTTGCGGGGGTTGAGCTTTGGCTCTTTGGTCCAGCCTCTCAACTGTCAATCAACTGGTGTACAGATTCCTGAGCCTACTGGGCTCTATCATATCTACATTTGAAACTGTGTTTGGAGTTAGCCTCCACCACATCACTTCATATTGCATTCCATTTATTAACTACTCTGACACTGAAAAAATTCTTTCTAATGAAAGAATTAGAAAGGGATAGGTTTGGTGAAATATCAACCCCCAAATCTTTCTCCCTATTTGACTCTTGCAGGATTTCACCTCCCAGATGATACCTTGTGTTCAGCCTCCTGCTCCCTTTGCCCAATTTCATCACCTCACACTTTCCTGAGTTGAACCTTAGCAGCCATTTTCTAGACCATTCCTCCAGTTTATACAGGTCATCCTGTAGTCTCTGTCTATCTTCATCTATCTGTCTTCATATATGTATGATTACATAAGTGTAGTAACAGGATGAGAGATATGCTCGTGGTGTCCTGTCTCCCCAGCACTCACTCACACACAGAAAGAAAGAAAGAAAGAAAGAAAGAAAAGAAAAGAAAGAAAAAAGAAAGAAAGAAAGAAAGAAAGAAAGAAAGAAAGAAAGAAAGAAAGAAAGAAGACAGACAGACAGACAGACAGACAGACAGACAGACAGACAGACAGACAGACAGACAGACAGACAGACAGACAGACAGACAGACAGACAGACAGACAGACAGACAGACAGACAGACAGACAGAAAGAAAGAAAGAAAGAAAGAAAGAAAGAAAGAAAGAAAGAAAGAAAGAAAGAAAGAAAGAAAGAAAGAAAGAAAGAAAGAAAGAAAGAAAGAAAGAAAGAAAGACAGAAAGAAAGACAGACAGACAGACAGACAGACAGACAGACAGACAGACAGAAAGAAAGAAAGAAAGAAAGAAAGAAAGAAAGAAAGAAAGAAAGAAAGAAAGAAAGACAGAAAGAAAGAAAGAATTTTTGTACTTACCCAATTTTAATGGTAGTCCCAATCTTAATTAGTGGTTTATTGCATTTAATATCTTGTATGACCTGAAGTTTATTTCTTTGTTCCTCATACTCATCAGCAATATCATTTATCATGCTACGTAATTCCTAAAATTCAAAGAAAGACTTGACATTAATTAATATTCTTAGTTAAGCTAAAGTTGGTTAATAATTAATTAAATGTTCATCATATTTTAACATTTTGTAGCTCCTTGAATTTGGCAATCAGAGCACAGTGCCTGGAGAGTGAGTCACCCATGTTGTGCCCAGCTGATAGGGGCCCAGCAGTTCATACATTGCTGACATACAGCTGACATGTAGCCGATAGTGGTGAGGCCTTGATACAAGCCTATGTACAACCTGCTACCGTTAACGACATATAATAAATTCAACCAACAAGATGAGGCTTATCTATTCCCACTATCATTAACCATGAAGCTGCAAAACTTGCATTAATATAAAAAAACAGAGATTAATGTAATGAAATGCCAGTTTCTGTTTGAGCCCCGGAGGCTCCCTGAAGCTATCATCACTGATAAATTATCATACAACCTAATGTCATCAGTTGCGAAGATGTTTTTGCCTACCAGGGACAACGAGCTAGAACCTGGCCCCTTCAGAGAGGCGAAGGGAATGATGACCTATGATCACTTTACATTTAAAGGTCATCAACTTTGCCATTACCTTGAAAGCACCCAGGAAGGTAGGCGAATCAAAACAAATCCCTGCATAGATGAAAAATTAAACCGCAGCCCCCAAAATGCCAAAAGAACTCCCCCAAAAAAACCAGTGTTGAATGTAATGAAACGCCATTTTCTGGGCGAGTCCTGGAGGCTCCCGGAGCTATCCCAGGCTGATATGCTAATGTCAGACTTTGGCATCAGTCATGAGTACGGACATATTCCCAAAGACAGCAGCAAGAGCAAGAGAACAAGATATAATGTTCTCTTGTGACCAATATGCTTTAAAATAAAAAAAATCTATTCTCAATATTTAAGAATTTACCTTCCAGTGGTAGAAATTCATCCATTTAGCTGTTCGAGTGGAGCCTGAGGAGGTGTAAATTATACATCTTACTGGCCTTATTTCCACCACCAAAAGTTTTGAAGGTTTGATCTGCAAAGAAACCATGGGGATATTAATACATATCTTAACAGTAAATACAGAAATTATATATCCTTAGTCGATTAATGGAATTATCTCTAATCCCTATGCCTGTCATATGAGATGTACACTACATGGTAGGACAACAGCTGTGGGGCAGATCCATACCTCTCTTGGCAGGAGAACCATTAACACTGACTCCCAAGTTCCATTACAACCAAACAACCAGCATTGAATGTATTGAAACACCATTTTCTGGGTGAGCCCCAGACTCTCTGGAGCTATCAGGCTAATATGCAAATCATTACACTTGGGCATTAGTCTATGGAGTTCAGCCTACCAGGGACCACAAGCCAAAACCTGGCCCCCCTCAGAGAGGCGCAGGGAGCAATGGCCCGGAAAAATGCCCCCTTTGGTTGGAGTGCTTCCTTATCTGCCATTGACCGGGGTTAGGCATCCAGAAAGGTAGGCATAACAAAACAGACCCCACATGGTAAGAAATTTGCAACCGAAAACTGAACAGAGGCAAAACTCCCTCCAATCCCAAGAAAACAAGCAAACAAGCAAACGTCACGCTCCATCGCGATGTACAAGATTATGTTGACGTTCTTGGTGTACTATTGCTCTCAGACTGCTTATTGACAATCCAAGGTTACCTTTTTGGATGACCCATAGACTGTGTCAACAAAATTATTCACACACCCTCCATCACTGTGTGATGGAGTGCAAGAAGATAAGTGAATTCAGAGACAATTCTATAACCAATGATCCAACGATGTGTAAATATTTCATTCAAAATGATCTGCTACCAGAAATTTTAGCCAAATATCCCCAGTTTGCTAACTGTAGGTAGTAACTAAGTGATTGTAACCTATCCACTGCTGCCCACTGGATGGGGGGCGGTGTGCAGGACAAACATATCAATTGTGACACTAGCTCTCCACATGTGTCAGTTGCTTAATTTAGAAACTGTACTTGTGGTCGGTCTCGAACCCATTGATGATGTGACGATGTACATTGAATTTTGTAACTAGCTCATCAAGATTGTAACTTGCTTAGCTAAATGAATTGTGGGGTTCAGTCCCTGAGCCCATTGTGTGCCTCTGTAACCCTTTCCACTACCGCCCACAAGATGGGTATGGGGTGCATAATAAATGAATTAAATATTTATGTAATCTCACCAACCCATGTACCTTCTTGCAAATAAATTATTATTATTATAAAGTAACGTAACCTTGAGGCATGCCAGATATTGTGATGATATATTAACATCTGGATCAACCATTTAGCGTTTTGACGTTCTGGAAAGGATTTATGAGAGTTCTGATGCTTGATACTGAAGATAAATACCTTTAAGAAGTCGATGTGTTTTACTGACATCTTGAATTTCGGAGATAATACATAAATTCTCAGAATGAATCATTCTTTGAGTGACGTCTTGGTAATTTCGAACACATTTGTTGACGGAGCCGTCAACGTCCACTGCCAAAGATCCTCACTAACATTTATCTCACTAAAAAGCTAATTTCGCTTTAGTTACTCGCAGTATTCAATACATTAATAACTACTTTATTCATTATTTATATTTTAATTATTATTGTTATAAACATAATGAAGCAACTGGCCCGAAACTTACGCTGTGCGAATTTGCTTAACTTTTTAAAGAATTTATAACTATAACGAAACTGTATATTATTTTGTTACAACTAAATACTTTAAATGAAATTCAAAATCCACAAGATCCGCTAACTTTTTTTTATTAACAAAATTAGGTATACACAGCAATGTGTTGTTACCCTATTCTATATGAGATATTACAGTGTAGATCAAAAACTAGCTACAGGTTCAACTAACATTCCCATCTCACAGGATGGTTAGTCATATATGGAATTATGGGAGATAAAACCAGCCCCAATACAAAAACAAATCAACTCTGACTAAAATTCAGGTGAGAATACAAAATGTAAGGCTGATCTATTAGCCTCCAATAGCAAAATCAGGGTACAGCACAAGAATATCTTCCAATGTTCTTGAGTGTATGACGTAAGTATAGAGCTCAAAGTACAGTACCTCATACCATTAGGTCTGAAGTCACTTATAACAGGGCAATCACAGATATAGTGATGGAGAGCATGTCCCAGCTCTTGTTCACATAGTTTACAATTGGAATGTTCACTATTGGGGAATTTACTACCTACAACCACCTGCCATAGATATCGATATCCTAGCCTGATTCTGGCAATTACAATGTCGCACTGTCTAGTGGATGTTTTATGCTGCCCTTACATATAATTCTACGTTCTAAACATCTGCTAACAAGCTTAGGTATACATAACAATGTGCTGCAATCCTATTCTATATGAAAGATTACACAATATAGATCAAAAACTAGCTACCGAAATGACATGCAGTTTCAAAACGACCATGGATATTTATAATATTATGCTCGAGTGCTATTTTTTAATATAATTGAAGCTAATTGTACACATTTTAAAGTTATAAATTCAATAATTTTCATAAGGAAATGGACCATAACAGAAAACGGAGAAATTTTCCATTTTAACCAAACGACCTGTAGTTTGAAAAATACGATACACTTTGCCAATATTATGATTAACTGTTATATTTTTAGTGTAACTAAAGGGAATAGCACATATTTGAAGTTTTAAATTGTCCTTTTTTTTGCAAAGCAAAGCGTTTTTAGCCGAAATGCTTTGCATAATAGAGACCGGTAGTTTGTGTACCTCCTGTCCCTTGAATTGTTTTTTATATCCACAGTATTTTATATAAAAATATGAAATTTTAATTTATACGGAATGTACAAATTTGGTGGCCGAAATTTTACAAATATATATCAGGTCTTCTGTACCACCTGACTTGTATCTCTTATCTAACACAGTGAAGCACACGGCGTTCCTCAGGTGGGTGCTGTTTACTGTACACAGGTGGCAGGTGGGTGCTGTTTACTGAACACAGGTGGCAGGTGGGTGCTGTTTACTGAACACAGGTGGCAGGTGGGTGCTGTTTACTGTACTCTACACAGGTGGCAAGTGGGTGCTGTTTACTGTACTCTACACAGGTGGCAAGTGGGTGCTGTTTACTGTACTCTACATGGGTGGCAGGTGGGTGCTGTTTACTGTACTCTACACAGGTGGCAGGAGGGTGCTGTTTACTGTACTCTACATGGGTGGCAGGTGGGTACTGTTTACTGTACTCTACATGGGTGGCAGGTGGGTGCTGTTTACTGTACTCTACACAGGTGGCAAGTGGGTGCTGTTTACTGAACACAGGTGGCAGGTGGGTGCTGTTTACTGTACTCTACACAGGTGGCAAGTGGGTGCTGTTTACTGTACTCTACATGGGTGGCAGGTGGGTGCTGTTTACTGTACTCTACACAGGTGGCAGGAGGGTGCTGTTTACTGTACTCTACATGGGTGGCAGGTGGTACTGTTTACTGTACTCTACATGGGTGGCAGGTGGGTGCTGTTTACTGTACTCTACACAGGTGGCAAGTGGGTGCTGTTTACTGAACACAGGTGGCAGGTGGGTGCTGTTTACTGTACTCTACACAGGTGGCAGGTGGGTGCTGTTTACTGTACTCTACATGGGTGGCAGGTGGGTGCTGTTTACTGTACTCTACACAGGTGGCAGGAGGGTGCTGTTACTGTACTCTACATGGGTGGCAGGTGGGTGCTGTTTACTGTACTCTACATGGGTGGCAGGTGGGTGCTGTTTACTGTACTCTACACAGGTGGCAGGAGGGTGCTGTTTACT